TTCTTTGGGGAAGAAAGACTAAAACCTGCGGTTTGCCCAGCTGTGCAATTTCAGCCACACCCTTATGTTGAAGGAAAACCTGAATTAAAGTTGGCAGCGTTGGGGGTTTGCAAGCTCACTTGGCCTGGTATCAAACCAGAGCCCAGTCCGGATCATTGGAAGGTTTTCCATAGCCATCCCCAACATGACCCCCTGGTCGTTTTCAGGGGGCCGCGCTGGCGCTCCGCAGCTCGTGCTTGAAGCCGGCCTGGCAGAGGAAAATCGATTGTCTCTATTTCAAGCAGGGAGCAAGGCAACACACCCTACTTTACTGTAAGTTACCATGCTTGACTTGGTCATCTGATTTACCGTGTGAATGTGAAGCTCTGATTATTACCCCAACTTACCGTTCTTTTTCAGTGTTCCAAAGGCGATGACTGTTTTGCCATGTCACACCACATTCCCCGGGTATCACACATGACATTCACAGACTCACAAGGCCTCGTTTCCCAGGACTCTAATTGCCAGGCGTTCACGTTTCCCCGATGGATGAGCCTTTCAAGGGAACCTCATCACGGATCAGTTCTCTGCACTCGCGTTGTTGTCAAAGAGGGGATCCCCCTAGCCCGCACCTTCGCGCACTCCTCCCAAATAAGCCCAACACTTGCGACCACCAAACACCAATGGGCAACCCCAGAACTACCCTCTAATTTGCGGCTTAAAGGGAAACCACCCCAAAGGCAATCTTAAGAACCCTTCAAATGTTGGAGGCGGGGGGGCAGCTGTGGCCATGGGTCAAAATCCAAATCGTACCCCGGTGAACATCCGATTCAATCCAACCACTAAAATTGGTTCTAAAATGGGTGAGTTCACCTACCAACCAAGATGGGATCCTATTGGTTTTGACAACCACAGCCATGTAGTCGCAGCATTCCTTCGCAGTTCGGCCACGCCCCGAGAACATCACCCGCCGGTGAGGCTGAGGTCCTCCGCGGCGGCTTCCTCTTTGGCCTGGAGATCTCCCGCAGAGGCCAAAATGGGGCTTGCTCTTGTGCAGTACACCATTTTTTCCATTACTCTAGCAAGAAGCCGGAAACAGCTTCACTCCTGCTCCCAAAAGCTCAAGAAATTTATATGCAGCTACCAAACTACAAAACCAAAAAATGAATTCAAAGAAAACATGGCCAACCATGATTGAACACTAAACACATGCCAAGGAACGATCAACTACATAGGTATGTTTGCCCTCCTACCATTGCGTGCATGTGGGGTGTGCCTTGCGACGGGTGGCTCTTTTTGTTCCTGGACAATTACGGGATGTCCTCAGGACATAGTTGGTCCCCAGGCACACATGTCTTGCTTGCGATGCAGGACATGCAAATACCATGGCTCCACTGACAGGGATCGGCCTAGTTGCAAAAAGCTTATTAATGAAATGTATGTCATGTAAACAACACATGATTCACATAACATGTTGACATGATGTGTAATCCATATGCCGCATGTTGTTTTACTTCATGCAGTTCAAGAGGCATGCTACTTCAAACCCAGGAAGGAGACTCGCAACATGATCCAACAGGAGATAGACCAAAACGAATAAGTCTACCCATGCAAATGCACATGAAAACATATTAACCGGCGGGTCGCACCTACAAATGGTTCGGACTTCCCCCAACCTTCATCTGCCCAGGTTTTGATTGTGCCCCAATCGCACTTTCCCCAGATAACCAGCAACCCTGGTGTAAAAGGTGCGTGATTGCGTTCTGGGTTATGATTCTTGGTGGACCCCAAATCCACCAAAACAAAAAGACTTACACGATGCCACGGAACAACTCGATTCCCCGTCCCATTTTCTACGCCTCCGCAGTCTCAAGGGCGTTCGCCTGTCAGGCGTCCGGCGAGCGAACTGGGGAGGGGCTATCACTCATTAAACCTTTAAGGACCTCAGGAGCTTCTCCTAGTAAGGTCTTATGACTTCAGAATTTATCATCTACTAAACGCATGAATAATTACCAGGGATGGCCCCCTTCCATCATAGCCCGGGCTTTTCCTTCCGAAGGCAGGTTCATTTAGTTTGGAGGCCACTTTTGTCCACCTGCTTTGAGAGTGCCACTGACAACTACAACTTGGCGGTAAGAGGTCAGCCCTTCCGCAATCGTTTTTAAGCTGGACAAAAGCTTTTGCAAGACTATGGCGTTGGGAAACTGTCCACTTCCATGAGTGAAAGAGAAAAACAGCGGTACCCATGGTACCCAACACCCATCAGGGTGAAAAGGACGCAACCTGGTGCCGGGACTGTGAAGCAAAAGGAAGTCGCGTGTTTTCCCCGGTCTCCCGCTGGGTCGTGAAGGCCTAAGCAATGGCTCCATACAATCTGCGGTCGAATATGTACAACCCCCAACTAAAAGAGTCACGTAACTACTCCTTGGTATCTAGTGTTGTCCTAGCAAAATTATCCAACAAACAAAGATGCGGGTGTATCTCGAAATGGGTGTGGGTCAATATTCTGGTGTGGAACGTTCCGCGGTGACGCGGACGTCTGGAACGAGTCAGTTACGTAAGGCTGGTTGTTCCGGACCTCTGGGAAGACATGTGTGGAGTCCTCAAGCACACGTGAGCGAGAGGCAAAACCTAAGACTACTTTGGGCGGGGGCTATATCGTTCGGAGGAAGAGAAAGCAGGAGGAGAAAGGACGAAGGGAAGAAGGATGGGGAGGAAGGGAGAAAGGAATCCAGGGAGTAAGGGAGCAAGGAAGGATGGGGCAAGGGAAAAAGGAGGGTGGAAGGGAAGGGAGGAAGAGGAAGGGAGGAAGAGGAAGGGAGGAAGAAGGGAGGAAGAGGAAGGGAGGAAGAGGAAGGGAGGAAGAGGAAGGGAGGCAGGGCAGAAGAGGAAGGGAGGCAGGGCAGAAGAAGAAGGAAGGGAGCAAGGGAAGAAGGCAGGAAGGCAGGAAGGCAGGAAGGCAGGAAGGCAGGAAGGCAGGAAGGCAAGAAGGCAGGAAGTGTGTAGATGCTGCGCCTCCCCACAAGCTCCATGACATGCTTTTTGACGCTGGTTCCAGACCGCCCACAAGCATGGGAGGTGGAGCAGGGCCCACACGCTGACCACCACTGATTGATGGGTGAGCGGTGGCCCGCCTTTTGTGCTTTCCGGGTGTCGTTGAGGTATTGTTCAGAGTATCGTTCAGACAGCCCTCCAAAACCATAAAATTTTGCCCATATTCTCTCAGTCCAGGCCATGTGCCAAAACCAGCTACACGTTGCGTGCGTGCGCCTCGCAGCCCGGACTGCTGTCCGGTGACTTGGTAGTTGCAAGCGAGACTTATAAACAACTTGAAGCACAGCAGCACCATGCGAGCACGAGGGGTGTGGTTTCGGTGTCGTTTTGGGTATCGTTTTGAGCAAGCAGTACTTCGGTGGCCAAAAATGCAGTTCACACTCCCCGAATGATCCGAAAAGGTGTTTTCGACGCTCCAAAACTACTTTTGGGTATGGTTTGGCGTGCCGACTGTGGCGCCTGCGGGTGCAAGCAAGAAGCATGAGCAGTAGGAAGGAGAGCAATCGGTGGCCCAGAATGCAGTTCACACCCCCCGAATGATCCGAAAAGGTGTTTTCGACGCTCTAAAATTACTTTTGGGTATGGTTTGGCGCGCCGACTGTGGCGCCTGCGGGTGCAAGCAAGAAGCATGAGCAATAGGAAGGAGAGCAATCGGTGGCCCAGAATGCAGTTCACACCCCGCGAATGATCCGAAAAGGTGTTTTCGACGCTCTAAAATTACTTTTGGGTATGGTTTGGCACGCCGACCGTGGCGCCTGCGGGCGCAAGGGAGAGCAAGCAGTACTTTGGTGGCCCAGAATGCAGTTCACACTCCCCGAATGATCCGAAAAGGTGTTTTCGACGCTCCAAAATTACTGTTGGGTATGGTTTGGCGTGCCGACTGTGGCGCCTGCGGGTGCAAGCAAGAAGCATGAGCAGTAGGAAGGAGAGCAATCGGTAGCCCAGAATGCAGTTCACACTCCCCGAATGATCCGAAAAGGTGTTTTCGACGCTCCAAAATTACTGTTGGGTATGGTTTGGCGTGCCGACTGTGGCGCCTGCGGGTGCAAGCAAGAAGCATGAGCAGTAGGAAGGAGAGCAATCGGTGGAAGCGCGAAGCGCCAGTTGCACGTCATGCGACGTTATCGTTTTTGGGGCTTCGCTATATCGTTCCTGAGGAAAAATACAAAACAAGCAACGCGAAATCGCCGAAGACATATTTTATGACGAGAGAGTTTAGCCTTTTGCTCGTTCATTTAGTGTAAGATGGACAAATGGATGGATGAATGAATGAATGGGTAGATGGATGGATGAAGCGATCAGGGGCACGCGGCCGTACGATACGGCACCTCCTTGAAGGCTTCTTCGGCGGCATGGCGGGCCGCGTAAGAAGCGTAGCTACTGTGCATGTGGACTTGGTGGCAAATTGCTCCGCTGTGTCTGGAACACGTCTGGAACGGGTCTGGAACGGGGTCTGGAACGGTTACGCGAGTGGCTCGCACTTGGTAGCAAGCTGCATGTAAACATGGTCGTTTCAACAATGTGACGACCGAGAGCGGTATCGAACCGTTACCGTGTCGTATCGAACAGATTGCGGCGGGGCTGACCCTTAACATTCACAGGCCGCTCCAAAAACACATCTGTCAACAGGACCGCTGCTTAATTCCATCCAAGTCCCAATGATTACAAGCCACGCAGCCCCAACCACCAAAGCTCGACAAGCAAACCCCATCGTTAGCACCTCAGGCTTCTCCCGAACACCAGCCTTCCCAGTCCTTCCGGCGAGGATTCGATGGCGAGGATTCGTTTTTTTCAGCGCTGATTCGAGTTGACGAGGATTCGTGTAAAAAACACTTGACGAGGATTCGGGTTGACGTGGATCCGTGTCAACCGACGTGGGTCAGCTGCGCATGCTCGTAGTATATTCGCTGAGTTTTGTTGCATGGCATGACTTTCCATTTCCATATCGCAGATGCCTCGGGCACATCTTCGCATGATATTCGCTTTATATACTGTTGCAGAATCCGCTGGAAACAGAGTTTGTTCAGACGATTAGTTGCGTGACATGTTTTGTCATTAGCACAAAGCGTAGGATGCCTTGGGCTCCTCCTACAGTCTCTATAGCCCGTAAGCAAAAATCAGGAAGCCGCTTGCTCCTAAATGTGCTTGATTGTACGCGAAAAGAAGGTAGTCGCTAGCTCCTGAAAGCTTGCACTTGCGCGCTTTGTGCCCACTTAATCAGTTTCAGACATTTGCATGTTTCACCCCGCTCAAAAAACAAATGGCATTCCTGTTTCCACTCCCAGGCCGCAGCGGTGACGCGCGAAGGAGATGAAAAGAACACTTGCTGCAAGGCGCAAGGCAAGGGCTGTCAGCTCCAAAAGGAGCGCAGGGCTCCTCCTTGTTCCAAAAAGGGGAGAGAGAGAGAGAGAGATGACGAGAAAGAAAAAGAAGAGAAAAAGAAGAGAAAGGGAAATATGAAGAGGAAGAGAAAGATAAAAACAACAAGAGAGCGGGAAAGAGAAAGAAGTGAAAAATGCGCAAGAGAAAGAGACAGAGAAAGATGAAGAAAGAAAGATAGAAAGAGAGAGAGAAAGACAAAAAGACAGAAAGAAAGAAAACATAATAAAAAAGAAAGAAAGAAAGACAGAAAGAAAGAAAGAAAGAACGAAATAACGAAAGAAATAAATAAAGAAAGAAATACCTAAACACATAAATAACGAAACAAAGAAGGAACATAAACAACGAAAGGAAGACATAAAGAAAGAAATAACTCAAGAAATAAAAAACACAATGATATAAAGAGATAAACCAATACAGAAAACAATGAAATAAATGAAGAAATAAATGACGAAATAAATCAACAAAAAGAAAGACATGCATAAATAACTATAAATAAAGAAAGACAAACATAAATACCTAAAGAAAGAAAACATAAATAAATAAATCAAGACATGAATTTAGAAAGCAAGGAATAACAAGACAAAGAGAAAGAGAGAAGGAGAGAAGGAGAGAAAGAGGCAAAGAGAGAAAGATAAAGAGATAAAGATTGCAAGAGAGCAAGAGAGAAAGAGAAAGAACATGACAAATAAAAAGACAATGAGAAAGAGAGAAACAAAGACAAAGACAAAGTGAGATAAAGAGAGAAAGAGAGAGAGAGAGAGAAAGAGAGAGAGAGAGAGAGAAAAACAGAGAAGGGGAAAACAAGCCTGCTGCAAACTATCGTTCTTCTAGTTTTGAAACGTCTGCCAACCGGCTTCGCCGGCTTCACGGGTGTACAAACTGTTCCCTTTCTTTTACTTTTGTCTTTGGTTGATGTTTGGTACTTGGACCAAGCCCTGGGACCCTCCCATTTCCCCAGCATTGCCCTGAGATTGCTTGCGGTGTCTCTCCTGTTTTTGTTCCTTCGCTTGATGTTGATTTTCTTTGTGCCTTTGCAGGCGTCACCTGGCCAACATGTCGCAGTTATGTTCAAAACACTTTTCATCACCTTTGCTTTCCCTTTTCTCATGGGAACTTTGTTATCTTCATTGCGTTTGCCTTCTTTGGGTTTGGTGGCGTGGAAATTTATGAAAACATGATGAACCAGAAAAAAATGGGTTGCTGGCTTTCAATTGGTCCCTTGGCCAGGGTGGATGGTGCTGGAATTATGCCAGATAGTATGAACATATTTTTTGCAGGCGTCCCACTTAAAACATGATATGGGTCAACTTGTTTTTGCAAATTTTGATCAACGATGCGTTGGATCAAAATTGATCACAAATGAATTGCTGGGAAGCACGTGGAATTGAGAGCGAACCCCAAACATGGAACGCTAACTAGTTTTCCCTGTGTGGTTGCGAGTTCTAGG